TACCCCCCCCCCCCCCCCCCACGCAAAAAAAAAAAAAAAAGAGCGCTCATGTGATTCCAGAAGAAAGAAGAAATGAAATAGGTTTTTGATCCAAATGAAATTTCAAGCAATTGTCGATGATGTACTGCATTGAATGTTGGTTGAAAACTCTTCCTCTTTATCATGATTGTCTCATTTCAATGTGCGTTGTTGAATACTGACCCGTAATTTACCTCTCTGTTTTCGAGTCAAGATGCTAATAATGATACTAGCAGAGTAATGGACAATACAAAATAGAGTACGGCAACACTGGACACTTAAAAGCCACGGCCTGCAGGGCTCCGGTTCTCTGCCTTTTGCTTACGCTGTCGGTGGCCGTGCTCCAATCTTCATCTGAGGAATTATCGTCATAAGGCCTTGTGTCCTCGCTTGTCCTGTTAAATTCATCGTAGTGCATGGAGATGAAAGCGGGGGCACGAATACACTCAAACAGAAGTAAAGCGCTGTGATCCGAGATTTTTGTCAAAAGGTGAGTGATCCTATAATATATATACTTTATTGAATCAAACTTGCAATGTAACCCTGTTTGAAGGACAAATGATCATCGCCAGGTCTAGCTCGAGAAGATGAGGAATTTCGTGATGGCCCTTGTCCTTGTTTTCATTCTTAGGCTACGCATAGCGATCCCAGTAGGCTCTTTGCAAGAGGATCAAAGTAATTTCTCTGCCTTCCATTGAGGTTTGAGAGCAAGGGATTATTGCCTTTCTTGTCTCTACGCAATAATCATTAAGAAAAACATACCTGAATTCATTATTGAATCAAACTGGAGAGTGAGATTGGGTGCAGTTCATGGCTATACAGCCGGTATCCAAATTAGTGTGTAGCTGAATGGTCTTTTGCTTCAGTTTCTAAGCAATTGACGTCTGTTAAGACAAGAACAGGATTGTTTGATGCCAGGCTGGCAACGGCAAGCTGAGTGCCTCTATATTTCAGGGCCTGGCCCGTCTTGAATTTCTGGGCCAAGCCGTTGCTCAACCTTTATGGACTCAGAGAAGGGCAACTTCATATCTTTCTCAGAAGTTTCAATTTCACCTTACTAATGAAAAACTCACTTTTTGATTTTGATATTTTCTTTTATCTTTCTATTTTACTTAAATCCCAATATATTCTATCCCATGAGACCAAAACACTTAAAATTCTAAAAAAAAAAAAACTATATATAATAATTAGGGTTGACATAGAACTTCTTAAAACAACATGGGTACTATTGAAAAATGTTGAGTTACAGGAGTTGAATGACAATATTTATGAATCTAGGAGGGTTACCGCTCTTAACAAAGACTTAAACGTGTGTAGTGTTTTATTGTAGAGAAATACATGAAATAACGTGGATTGAAATATTATAATGATGATTTTGACAATCCCAAACAAAATCATCAGATTGGTTATTATTAAATTTTTTTTAATGGTAAAATAATTTTTATTAAATTGAATGGACAACTTAATCTTATCACATTTTAAAAATATAATGAAAAGATAAAATAAAAATTTATTTGACCACAACTGTGTTTTTCTTTTTAATTTTCAATTTATAAAGCACAATAAAATAATTAAATTACTTTCAAAAGCAAAAACAAAAATAACTAACATTCGTGGGCTTTTTTGTATTTTCACCCTAATTATTTTAATTATAATTAAATTAACTAATAGATAATTTAGTATTTTAATAAATATATAATATTATTTAAAAATAAATTATGGTTGATATGTACAACACACACGAAAGCGAGTGGGAACCTCATACTCTTCATTAGATGCCTAAGGCATCTTTTAGCAATGAAACACCATTTTCTATGATGGTGATGGAAGAAATATCCTAACATGTTCTTCTTGGAGGTCAGACACATATATAAGGTGACACAGTCGTCGGACTACGATAAACCATTTTACTTTTTTTCATTTTCTCTTTCCTTGCCTTGAGTTTTGTGTTTATCCTTTTAAAAAATAAATGTGTCCTATTAGTTTATATTTGTATCAATTCTAATAATCATTATTATTATTATTATTTGTTTCACTTTTAATGTATTTTTAAGTTTTTTTTTTGTTTTTTAATTTTGTCCTCCAAGATTTGATTTCATTTATTTTTGTATCAAATTTGGTCATTGTTCTTTTAATTACTTTTTTATATTATTTTCTTGATGTATTTTATTTTTCAATTATATCTCTCGTTGTTTTATTTCATTTAATTTTATACCAAATTTGGTTCTTATTCTTTTGATTGCTATTTTTTTTTATCATCTTCTTGATTTATTTTATTTTTCAATTTATTTTATTTCATTTAATTTTATACCAAATTTGATCCTTATTATTTTGATTGTTATTTGTTTTTGTTTTTGTTTTTGTTTTTTATCATTTTCTTCATTTATTTTATTTTTTAATTTTATCCCTCATTATTTTATTTCATTTAATTTTTATACTAGAATCAATCTTCATTTTCTTGATTACTATTTATTTTGTTTTTAAATTTTGGATGATTGAGAATTTTATTTCATGATTTTTTCATGTTTTTCTTTTATTGGATAATCTTAATCTCATGACCCGAGTCACAAGTTTTTATAAATAGCATAATTTGACTTTAATCTTTTTAGGTCTTATTTTATTTTATTTTTATTATTTAATCCTTCAACATTTGGTTATTGAACTTTAGCATTCATGGTTATATATATATATATATATCTCGTTCACGTATCATAGATTCTGAGTTAGTTAAGTTAATTTAGGTTAAATTATTTTTATGATTCTTTTTAATTATGTTTTTTTTTCAGTTTCACTTTCATCATTTAGTTTGACTGAGAGTTGATTTTCATTATTTCATTCAATTTTTTTTGTACGAGATTATCATGGTCCGTCATGAATTTGACATGTTAACTTGAGTCGAGTTTTTTTATCTTTTTTTTATTTGGTTGTTATTTTTTCAGTTTGTCCTTCAGCATTTGATTTTCTAGTAATTAAGCTTTAAAGTTTTTTAATATTTTTTTATGAAGTTATCCTATTTCTCACTTAATTTTTATTTTGTTATCAAATAACATCATTGGAATCTTTTCAGAATATTTAAAGAGTGTTTTTTTATAATATTAGTAAGCATTTATTTATTTTTTATTAGTCATTGTTATTTTTTTGTTTTTATTATCATTAGCTTTTTTTAATAATTATATTATTAAATTAATTAATTTTATTGTACCCATTTGAATTAAAGGCTTCTTTCCTAAATTTTTCTTTATCCTTTAAAAATACTATCATTACTTATAGCATTCATTTTTTATATTAAAATTTATTTAACCCGGCATGTAGCAACAGGCCACCTATTTAATAAAAGCTAAAAGTTAACCGTCAAGATTCCCGTTGTAGTTTGCCGAATGTTCAGCTTCGTGTTACCTTGCATATTTTACTTTGTTGCAATTTAAACCCTCTCATTCGAATCGCCACCTCGAGTTTAGAGAACTTTAAGGTCTGTTAATAAATAAAGTAATTTTTTAATTAAAAAATTGAAAAAAAAAAGATTTACTGTTCAAATGTAATATTTCTCCATTTAAAAAAATGAAAAATTAGTTTTCCGAATTTATATTGAGTTTGAAAAACAAATTTCAGAGGCTTATAATTTTAGAAAACACTCTTTAAAGGTTTTTCACAGTTTTCCTGCAAGTTTTCGTTGTTTTTCAAATGAAAAAATACATGAACAATTTAATTTTTTTATTTGATATAAAAAACATTTTTAGCAATGAAAAATATTAAATTTTTTAATATATATTTTCATATTTAGTTAGTGTTATAGACTTAATTTTTATTATAAATATAATATAAAAATATCTTTTGATTTAACAATAAATTTTTTTTCATGATAATTTTTAATTTAAATGAAATAAAATTAATATTCTATGATTGGATTATTAGAAATACAAAATATGACTATTATAAATTATAGTTCTGAATTTTTATGCAAAACAACTATAATCTTTAATCTTGATGTATTTCTTTTTCTTTCTTTTTTTTTTTGTTAGAAAGTTGGTTTTTGTTTTTCAACAACTGAACATGTTCTTCAATTCTTTTTTGGAAAGAAAAACTAGAAATTAAAACTGAAAATGGAAATAATTTTTTTTGTTACTAAACATGTTTTTTTCTTTTACAGTTCAATTTTAATTCAAAAATATATGGTGATTATATAAAAGTATTATAATATTGGAAGACTTGTTGTGGCAAATTAAGAATATGTTTGTTTCCTAAAAAGTAATTTATGAAAAATAACTTTTCAAATTTTTTTATGTTTATTTTAATTTCATCCTTTAGAATTTAATTTTTATATTAATTTTGGTCCTTATTTTTATAATTTTATTTGCTTTTTCCTTATCATTTTTTAATTGAAATTTTTTATCTATCAAATTTGGTCCTTCTTCTTTTTATTGTTACTTATTTTATTTGAAATAATTTATGAAATGTTAATTATTATTATTTTAATTTCTTCATCTTTTTATTTTTATTTTTTAGATTTGATCTTTATTATTTTATTTATTATTTATTTTATCTGAGATAATTTATGAAATTATATTATTTTTTCAATTTCATTCTCATTCAACTTTTTGCTTTATAAATTTTTTTTTTCATTATTTTAATAAAAGTTTTAAAAATAAAACATTGATAAGTTATTTTCTAACTAATTTTCCATAACATAACCAAACACTAGAAAGTATTTTTCAATTTATTTTTCATTATACTACCAAATATCATAAAATAATTCACTTTCTCAGAATTCACTTTTCAAAAAAAAATTACTTTCCAGCAAACAAACAGGGTGATTAATACTTAAAATTGTATTTTTATCAAGATTTTATATCATCATTTTGCACTGAAAGTATCAATAACTCTTTAACTAAAACATGTTTTATAATAATATATTTAATAATATAAGATACCTTTAATTTGTGGTAAATGCTCATCTTAAATGTAGACCTATCCAATAAATGAAAGGATTGATTGATAAGTTTATGTACTAAAAATGAAAGGAGAAAGAGATAACCAAACTTAGAAAAGAGATGTTAGTACAGTCCAAACTGGAATACTGTTCGGTAATTGGGTCATCATATCTAGAGCTGTAAATCTCGGATTTAGGTCTACTTTATATAGATGGAAAGATAAGACATATAGGCCTACAACTTTCATGTGGAGGTCTAGTTTTAAAAAGACCGTTTTCAAGTCCAAATCTTAGTAACAACAAAGAAGTCCGAATCTGTATTGCAGCCCAGACACTGTTTAGTGTTCAACCCATATCTCAAGTTCTAAAAGTTTAAATGACCTCAATTGTTTTTTTTAGAAAGCTGAGATAATTTTCTAGAACTTTTATGGTAAGGTTGGTTCAGATTCTGATGTTATCAATGATGTTTTATTTAGACAAAAGAAGATATGGATTGTCACTAAGTCAAGAGTTGGCCACCCACTCATCAATTAGTCATCAAATCAATAGTTTTCAATTTTGGCTTATAAAAGAAGGCATTTGCCATGCATTTAGGCATCTTGGTTTCCAGATCAAGATCATGCTCTTTCTTTCTCTTTTTGTTTTTTTGTAACACTTAAGTTTTGTTTTTATTAATATCTATTTATACCTTTCAATTTCTTTCCTTTACTTAGTTAACTTTTATCTTATTTATGTTCTTTTCTTGTTTATTTATGTTTCTCTTCTTCATTATGTTTAGCTAAGTTTATTATGTCACAGTGAAAAGGTTACACTAATGGTGTAAAAGTAAATATAGTGTAAATGTAATATGGACTTTCATGTTTGATACTAACATGTTTTTTATTTGTTATCTTTTTCACTTTTTAATACTTTACTTGTTAAATGACTAATCTTGATTTATGTTGTATAACACTTAGTACAACAAATGTTTTACACTTTCATAGCATAAACTGTATAATATAATGGACACATGTGCTATGAAAGGAACTTAATTTGTTGTTAACATAAGTTATAATCATGAATACCTGACAATATTTACAAGTATTAACATTATTCGAATAAGATAACTAATTTAATCAAGTTAATAATTAATAATCTTATTGGAACTTTCTTTGTGT